CCGTCAAAAGCATTGTCTCAGGTCATGCTACTTATCAACATTGTCAGATTTGTCTTTAATATTTCGTTCACTTATCTAGATACACCGATTATTTTAATTTGAAAATTACACGAACAGAGTTGAACATTACAAAAAGTCCGCTGTCATGTATTTATTTAACTTCTGGAAACAGAAATAGGATCACGGCGAATTGGCCCGGAGGATTAGGGTCGGTCACTCCTGCATCTTTGGTCAAAATGGCGCCGCAGCGATTTCTTAGCGAAGATTTTAGGGCCCCTATTGGCCCTTTTTTTAAAAATGTCGCTGAACTTCTTTGTCAACGGGGGCTCCATTCCGGTTTTCGGCGCGTCCTGTCCCTCGAAATATTGATAACCAGTTCGCCTCCGAATCTGTACTATTATATATTTATCAATTTAAATGACAATTGTGTCCTTATCTGGGTTCCTTCTTGAATGAAGAACAAGTGATGATCACAGTTCAGGAATACTAACTACTTTTTTGAGAGAATACTGATATCTACCCCCGTTTGAAAGGCTTATCTACTCTAGACTATTATGAGGCTGCTAGGGATGCAGATTTGTCGCACATTGCATGCAGAGGCAATGTAAAAGTGACCGCCAATGTGGTTTTATTTGCTTATAGTACCATGAATTTCACTCACTTTATCCATTGGTGTTTAAAAAAATGCAGAACCAATTCTGTGCACAATATTAAAGGAAACTCTCCGTAATATGAATCGGTTTTGCAGGAATATTACTAAAAATGCAGCAAACGGCGGTAACCTTCGAAATTTTGAAGCAAGTTCCATCAATTTATGGCTTATGCCGTCTTTGTGTCCTATCCAATTCAATGTAACCAAGTGCCAGTTTTCCATGCAAATACTCCAACTAAGTTGAGAAGTCTCTTGATTTATGAAAAACATATCTAAGCCAGTTGCTTATAGGTAGTTAGTCAGTCAAAAAGTAATGTAGACTTGCAAACATAGAAACTAATGAAAAACGGGCAATTGCAAGCAACCGGTTCTTAAATACATATAGTTAAAGAAGAAAACAGTCGAAATGAAGCTTGCGAAATGTGCATAGTAAAGCATACAGCTCCGTGCAGTCGCCGTTGCCCCTGTGCTGCGAGAGTAGATGGTGTTGGTTCGCCTTCAAATGCTTGTATAGGCAAAATCACCTCCGAAGAGTCAAAATAGTTATCTCCCCCAATTTCTAGGCGTTGGGGCTTATCTTTTTGACGATTCTGCTACCTAGATCTGTTAACTCAGTCTGGAACTATGTCCAGCCTTCTTTCGAAGACAGGTAGTTCAGATGATTAGCAACGTTTAAGCCACGTGCCAGTGGCGTGGCGTGCTTTGCGATCTATAGATATTTCCCCATTTGAAGCTGTGGTAAATATCGATTATTAAGGTGTTTGCTGCAAACACCCTGTCTATCGATACTTTTTAATAGGTTTAAATGACCAATCAATCGATATATCGCAAAGCACGCCACGCCCCTGGCACGTGTACCATATGTGCCATAAGCCAATGGACCACCAGATATACGAATTTTAGCATTCCAATACATGTTCCTGAACCAAAATTTCACGTAGAACACGATTCGCGCAACAAAAGTTACTGAAACCAACTCTTAGCGAAGATGTTAACGTTTTTATTTCACATCAGTTACGAAGAATTTGAACTGGCCGCTCACAAGAAACTCAAAGCTCTCAATGGTTTCAGCAAGCTTCTCAATCGAGCAATGTTCATTTCCCACCATGTGTTGTTCAAACTATAAGCAATTTGCTATAGTTGAGCCAAAGCGTCAAGACTGAGGTAGCCAGATTTTTATATCACTGAGACGTTTATGATAACGTTTAGCGCGCGATGTGAATCACTTAGAGTATTGAGTTTTCATGAGCAGATGGTTTCAATTCACGCATCAAGAAATCTTCGTAAGGAGTTAATTCCGGTAATTTTCGCTGTGCGTATCGTGCTCTACGTGGAATTTTGGTTAGGAAACATGTATCAGAATGCTGAAATTCGTACCTTGTCTAGTGGTCCATTTTCCTAAAAAAAACATTGGGCGGAAATAAAAATCATAGGGGGCTGATGTAGTAGGTACGGGGTCCTTAAAACACTGTCTTGGAAGGGGACTCATTCCATAAATTCAGGGAGGATTCGCTCGAGGGTGGAATCGGTGACTTCCGATCGGCGCAAATTCGGTTTGATGGCGACGGCGGTGAACGGCGGTGGACGGCGGTGGCATTGAACAAAGCGACTTGGCCAAGAGCGGGGTGCCATTGAATCAGCGCCGTAAATCGGTGGGCTCCAGCCGCTGCCTGGGGCGGGCAAAGTGGCCGGCACAGACTCACGCCCGGATGACCGCCGCGCCGCGCGCCGCCAAGACAATTGAATACTCTGGTCCCGAGCCAACGACCAACACTCCCGTCCGAAGTCAAATCGCCGCGCCGTGCTAGCATGCCAGCCCTCCCAAATTGCCTCTCAAAAAATTGTTAATTTTTAGGAAATTATGAGTATTTTTCCTTACAATTTTCAGGCTTTTAAGATCAAATTCCAAACTAAATTCTCCCAAAAATCGGGTGAGAAATATAGACGAATTTAGTGGTGACGTCACGGAGCGATATTGTTGGTTCGATATCTCGAAAGTCGAAATGTGCCCCAACAAACAAACATAAGCTCCAAAATGAACAATTGACGAAATAATGCTGAAACTGCCTGAAACTAAAAAATTGCTCCATGGGACTTTAAAATTATGAAAGCTAGCCATTTACAAAAACGTTCGAGATCACAATCACAAGAATTGATTGTATAATAAGCTCGTNATCCCGCAGATTCCTATATGTTCGTTCGTTGGGGCACGTTTCGACTTTCGAGATATCGAAATTAAATCGAGATGTGACGTCACACTAAATTCGTCTATTATAAAGTTTCCTGAAAATTCATGATTTTCTGAAAGAAATTGGGCAACGCCTAACGACGCATACGGCGTTCTTCCTTACCACGGCGGACAACGGCGGCCCAACCCCGGACCTTGGCTCTCTATCGACATCTCCGCCTAGATCTAGGGTAGAGGCGAGGTTGGAGGCAGCGTGAGCTTTAATCGCGATCATCCGTCATCGAACTTATTTACAGAGATCCAGCATCGAGATCCTACTTAGAGGGAAAAGTAAATGATATATTAAACAAGCTAAAGGCCAAAAAAATACAACAACTCAACAACATACCTACATACAACAATAATACAACATATTTATAGTTCGTTTGATATATCATCAATCACCTACCATGTTTTTTATACATTAGCCAGCCAAATTTGGCATTATAATGTGTTTCTCGCCAAGCTTGAGTACTATTCGTGGGTTCTTTGGAACGCACTAAAAACTTAACCGGAAGTGATAGAACTGGTTTCAATGGAGATGTTGCATGTGTAAGGGATTTGCGATTTGACTGTTGTTTCTTATGTAAAAGTTCGCAAGAAACACGATGGTGCCACTGGTTTACTCTGAAATCATCTCCCAAGCTCAAAAAAAGCTCTCAAAGTGTGGCCAAAATGGAGGGGATATCCCGCCCTACTCTCATGGAGAGTTTGTTTTGATGTAGATGTGGACTCTCAGGGTAGGGCGGGATACCCCCTCCATTTTGGCCTCACTTTGAGAGCTTTTTTTGAGCTTAGGAGATGATTTCAGAGAAAACAAGTGGCATCATCGTGTTTCTCGCGAACTTTTACATATGTCTGTCTACTATGCTATTACAACAGCAGTCAAATCGCAAATCCCTCACACATGCAACATCTCCATTCAGAGGTTGTCTCTTTTCCTGTACTTTTACTGGCCAAACTTGTTTCAGTCAGGACCTTGTGCATTTTTCAGTACTTACACTGACCCAGTTTTCTTCAGTCAGCACCTTCCTCCCATACGACGAGGACCTCCTGCAGTCCGTTTGCTCTTTCCGTAAGCTGGAGAACCAAGTAGAATCCACGTTTTCGCAATTCGCACGTTATGGACTGAATATTGTTGGCATTCAGCTTAAGTCGCGAATTAGACAGACCTCAGATGCAACACCTCGACAGAAGTTTACATTTCCCCCCAATAAAACCGTATGAATCGGATGGATTTTGCAGCCACCTCGGCACCTCTGTTTTTGCTTCCGAACCCGTTCAACTCGCGCGATTTCGTAAATATGTCGTCAATGGTCCCGCCGCGCACCGCACTGACTGCTCAATGTCTGTTCGCGTGTGGTTTCGCTGTAATTACGGCACCACGTGAACGCGCAGGAATTGCAGACCCCATCGTTCGAAGGCGCAATTCGAGGATGATCGTTGTAACTCTCGTCCGAACACTGTAGATCGACAGTTCAAGAGATGGAACGACCTAATCGTAAGTTTTGAGGGGTGGGTCGGTGGGTGGGTAGTATTTTTCGGTGTGGCTGCGCCATGTTTGTGAGGGATTTTTGACGTCGATTCTGTCAGTTTGAAAACGACCCTTCTTTAAGGGGCGAAAAAATACAACAAACTGAGGAACTGTTGATTGGAGTCAACTGTTCTCAATGATTTTAAAATATTATAGAAGGTCAAACAGGCATTCGTATGAATGCAATTGTCATGCAATTAGAGACGATTAAAAATCGCGGATCGGAAAAATCGTTTTCGCATTACAATAAAAATTACCATCGTTCTTATTATGAGGGGCCGAAACAATAGTTTTTAAAAAAATGTCTGAAATACAAAAAAAATCAATTTGCAATTAACCATAAGAATACCTAGTTCTTCTGGAATAAAATATGAATTGTTGAATTCGGCTCGTTACCAGACTCCGTTTTAAGCGCGTGATATCTTCCTTAGAACCCAACAGCATCAGCGATAGATTTCGTTTTGGTGTTTTTTCTTCATGCATATGATTGAAAAGTGTAAATACACTGACCGCTCATAATTTTAGTGAATATTTCTAGCGGATGTTGTTTGAAAAATAATTGATGGGTTTTTTTTTCTCTGTTTCAGAAACTAAACGTGAACGGCGACTTGAAGAATTCAAGTAAGTTTCTATTTTTCCATAATTCTTAGATTTAAGCAAAAAATAGTTTAAAGGTAACTTGTTGGCTTGACTATGAGTATTTTAGTCATTTCGACTGAAATTAAATATTCTGGGAAATACGCGGCCCGAATCAGTTTTCGTAATTTCAATTTTGCTGCATCCATTAATTTCATTCCGCTGACCATGATCCTCTCCGCTTTTAGTCGATCAGGCATTGTAACTAATTGTTTACGCCATTTAAGTGTAATATTACCGAATTAACTTTCTAGAGCTTGATGCAGATAAAAGTTAATGCTCTATAAATTAATTAGCAAGTTACTTTTCGCCCACTCATACCTAAAGTTTAGAATGTTTTTGGGAAGTGAATTCCATACGATTAAATTTTCATGCAATACTTTGTGGAGAGCCACGCTAAAATTATTTAATGTATATAGTCAACTATACCTAATTGAAGTTAAAAAAAAAATTAAAATGAAAAAATATAGCTACTAGACGCAGCCAAGTACCATTATTTCCAACGGAACCGGGCTGCATTGCTCCGAGCAATGCATTGCAAGTTCATGCCTCGCGCCAGCGCGCCTTCAATTTTGCAGACGCAACACGGACATCCATCAAGTACGAATTGTTGTATCCCTGCGCCGTTGTCAGAGCGCGGCCTTTTCCTTCCTCTTTTTCCGTATTGTGTAGGTTCCGTTTATTTTATTTGTAGTGATTCTTTAACGGATACGTGAGAAACACATCTGAATAAAGAAGAGACGTGTTCGGGCCTCTTTTTTAAACTTTTCTGCCGAATTTCCCCAGCGTAGAGCGTAGCATTGCGAGTTCACGCCGATAATTGGACAGAGTTCATCAGAACGGAACCAACCCACACTTTCGAAAAAATTGAGTTAAGAATGTTTTTGAGTTCCTCTAGTCGTATACATTCCCTCGCCAAAAACTTCAAGTCGAGAAAAAAAAAATTAGTCTATGTTAAGAGGGGTTAAAGTTTATTTTCCACATTGAGCCTTATGGAGTAATACAATTTCAAACCTATTTTTCTCAGTTTCAACTTCATGTGGTTTGGTTCCTTTCTGTTAAACTCGGTCCAATGATGTTGAGGTTGTTCAATCATTATTCAAACATTCATCCTTAATCTGTGGAATGATCTTAAGTACAATACAAAGGCAGTCATTACGGTATGCCGTGCATCATTGTTGAAAACTAAAAAATCGCGTATCTCAGTTTCCGGCATTAATGAAATTCATTAATATTTTATTTTGCAAGCAGGAAACTATTCAATGTCATTTTTCTAAAGCCTCCGTGATTGCTCTTCTCCTCATGAGGGACACTTCATGAATATTTCAAGCAATGTGATTGGTTCGTTCAATTCAAAACTGAGATAGGAGTGGCTAATGAGGGAATTTTCTGGGTTTACCCTCCATATAATAAAATTCATTTCCTTGATTCTGAAGTTCCAAATTTTCGATTACATTTTTTTCTTTTTTAAAGGAAACTTATGAAACATTTTTTCGAATTTTTGTGAACTTTTTCTTGGATCACAAGAAAAGAAAGGCTTAATTAAAGAAAACTAGCCGGCAAGATATTATCTTCATGCAGATGCAATCATTGCGTGGAGACGATTTATTTATATAGTGATGGTGCTTTATTGTTGTTGAAACTGCTAAATCACGTGTCTAAATCGGTTTGCGACGTTGCAGAGTTTCATTGTTTTGAAAACTGCCCGACTAATTTATCGCACAGAACCTTGTGTGATTTTTTTTACTTCCCCCCTTTTTTTTCTTTCTTTCATGAATATTCTCTGAAGGTTTTGTAAAAAAATTCCCCTTCATATTATTTAAAACGAAAATAAAGAATAAGCAAAAATGTTGTAACACCGGGAAAGGGATACAAGCAATCGCAGCTCGTTCGCTGGTGTAATGCCACAATTCTATGCCTCATTATCGAAATCCCCGCCGAAAACACACCAGTCGCAGAAGGAAAAAGGAATAAAAAAGGGGGAAGGGAAAAAAGGGGAGCAATGGGAAACAGCATAATTAGGAGAAAAAGAGAGGAAGGGGGGAGGACATCCAAGAGTAAATAGAATTAACCTGCAAATCTTCCGAGTAAACCAGAACCCAGCTACATAATAAACCCTATTAGCACGGAATTCGTCTCCAGGACGCGAAAAGCTCTCGAGAACTCATTACAACCGTTGAAACTTTTCAACTACACCAACTCTCAGAGACGCCAATGCTTCAGAGCTCTCCAAACGAGAGGGACAAATCTAGAGTTTTTTTGTTTGTTTGGTTAAGTGGCGGAGCGGGTCAGCGACATAAATCGAGCGGAAGAGTGGACAACACAACAACGTTTGACATCGTTGACAGCTTTTTCGAGGCGGGGGGAAAAGGGGGAAGGGACGGAAGGAGGGAGGGTCGGCGGAGCGTACAATTAGTTGAAGAGGAGCGTGGAAGTGATCCGAGTGGCGGCGAGCTGCAATCAGGATGCGCCGCTGCTCAAGTGGTTGCCTACCATTGTTCGTCGGCGCCGTTACATTTGATTTGTCGTCGGCCGCCCCCGCTGCCTCGCTGCATTGCGGGTTGCCGCCCTTGCGCCGTCCACCTCTGGAAATCGCCTTGCAGGTTCGCAATTTTTCATGAAAAATAAATCTGGAATTTTATTTGAAACATGAAAAGTATTGAAAAGTATTCAAAAATATTTTTCGAAATTAAATGCAAAATCAAGTGAAAAACGGTTGATTTTTGTCTTTTGGTGTTTTTTTAGTGCGTGCTGCGTACCCTTACCCAGCCCCTGAAAATGCGTTTCATATTATTTTTTCATACTTTCCGCTACTCTGTGAAATTTCATGAAATATTTCACGGAAATTTTTAATATTTTATATTTTTCATTTCACCCGTGCAACCCTGTCGCCTTACCGCTGTGAAAATCAAAAAGCCTCATTTCAGGCAGGGTGGCATGAAACGTTAGAAAGAAATGAAAGATTGGATATTTCAATGAAGCAATTCATAAAATTTCACCGAGGCTTTGAAATATTTCATATTTTTCAGGGTCTAGAGTGTGCAACCCGCACTCGAATACACAAAAATAGATTGCGAAACATGGAAAGAAACCGGTATTTTTCAATCTCTCATAAATTTCTAAAATTTCATGAATTACGTGAAATTTTAAAAATGTGGAAGAGAAAATATTTTCAACATAAATCCAGTGTTGATTCTTTTAAGTTGGCGACACTCTTTTTTCTCCGTTTAAATGAATGTTAAACAATCGATTCTAGAATCGATGTATTCAATGGATATAAATGAAGAAAAAAGTGTTGCCAACTTGCTGGAATCGCCACTGCGTCATACGTGGGATGCGAGCCTCTGTAATTTCACGATCGTCACTCTCTAGGGTCGAAACAATCAGTGGCGCGGCGTGTTTTGCTTTATATCGATTCATCTGCCGTTTAAACCTATGTAAAAGGATCGATAGCCGGAGTGTTCGCGACGAACACCTCAATAATCGATTCTTTAACGCAGTTTCAAATGGAAAAGTATCGATAATCGATCATTTACGCCTCTTCACTGGAAACAATGCGAATGAGGGCGCTCTATCTTCCGTAATCGAAAGAAGAAATTGCGCAATCTTTGCAATCTGTGCATGCGGATGTGGTGTTATTTCGCGGCACGCACCACATACACAACCAAATCGGGTGAAGTGGGCATTTATCATCGTAGTTGCAATCGAAGAAGGGTGGGGGGGGGGGGGGGGGGGGGGGCTCGCCGAAAATCCGATCTTTTGCGCTCGAAAAACAAGTGTTGCAGCCGTTTCCTTTTAATATGGGAGGCGAGTTGCTTATTCAAGTCTCGTCAGTTCAACTGAACATCGGACCGACAAAATGCAAGCCTGACCGTCCCTCTAATGCAAGCGGGGTTGTCGAACTGCTACCAAGTATAATGACGATTTCCCCGAGTTTCGAGTCACTATTCGACAGTAAAATCCCAGAACCTTGGATTCTCATTACAACGTTCCAAAATGTGCGAACTTATTCAGTTTATTTTCGATAGGAAACCACGTCAACAATAGGGGTTTCTACGGGATGTATGTTGGGAAATGAAAGATGAAGAGGAGGAAAAAATTACAGACACGCTTAAGCCACAGTGCTAATTCGCCCTCCCAAAAAATTTAAGGAGGCACGGAAAACTTGAAATTTCACAGTTCATAAACGCAGTTTTCAAGTTTAGCTTTTGAGTTACCAATAGTCAGTTTAGAAAATAGAATGAATATTTTACTATCAGGCGTGAGCTAAAAAATTGTACTTCCCTTAATTTCCTGGGTATATTTTACACCAGTGCCACCCGTATCTCAGTTAAAATTCTCTACTATTACCTACATAGCACATTAAACATATTTATTCAACTTGACAAAAGAATGACTTTTGTTGCTTTTGAAATGACTTTAATTACAGTCAACGCTTCTCAGTTGAGTCGCCGAAAAGTTTTCAATGAAAAGTTCAGTCAAATGAAGTAGTTGAGAGAAACAGAGGCAGAAAAGGGACGCGCGATGATGACAGCGCAAAAATACAACTATTCCTGCTTGATGGATGTCCGTATTGCATCTGTAAAATTGAAGGCGCTATGGCGCGAGGCGTGAACTCTCAATGCTCCGCTCTATGTTGCCGTTAAGGTGTCGCTCAGATTCGGAGGAAAAATTAAAAAAAAACGAGACCCGAATACGTCTCTCTAATCGTTGATTTTTTTCTTTTTTTCAATTTGATGCCTGGTTCTTCTTCAGGATGTATTTGATTTGATTTATCAATTTCAATCATTTTCTTTGCGCAAATCGTGTTTTACATGAAATTCTGACAAAGGAACATGTACCATAATGCTTAATTTTGCTTTTTGTCTAATGGCCCATTTTTATTTGCTATTAAGGTATAATAACTTCATGACGTCACGTTGCATTACGATGACTTCGTTTACTTTTATCCGTGACTTCTCTGCCGTGATAGCGAAGACAGCAGT